TCTATACTATAAACTTTAAGACTAATAAATAAAGAATACAACAACGATAAATTTGTTCAGTCTATACTATAAACTTTAAGACTAATAAATAAAGAATACAACAACGATAACTTTGTTCAGTCTATACTATAAACTTTAAGACTAATAAATAAAGAATACAACAACGATAACTTTGTTCAGTCTATACTATAAACTTTAAGAGTAATAAATAAAGAATACAACAACGATAACTTTGTTCAGTCTATACTATAAACTTTAAGAGTAATAAATAAAGAATACAACAACGATAACTTTGTTAAGTCTATACTATACTATATTATAAACTTTAAGACTAATAGTATACATCATTTCGATATTATTCTCAAACGAAGAGAATAAATTAGAAGCAACAGTCTCAGTATATAGTAGAATGGAATTTCTACAGTAACGTGTTTTCGAATCTAATAAAGAACCAGTAGTATAAAACCCAACGCACACACAGATAGCTAACTGCTGCCTGAAATAAACCTTTGATAATTGTTGAACAAATCAGACGTCAGCAAAAAAGAGATGTTTGCCGAAGATATAGTTTGCTTATAATTAAGTACAAAGTTACAAAATGGGCTATCTGTGCTCTGCCCACCACGGGTATCGAAACCCGGTTTTGAGCGTTGTAAATCCGCAGACATATCGCTGTGTGTTTTAAAGGAAATTGGGGGGCAAGATATAGTTGAATGATGCTAATGAGTTTTTTTTTAACTACTATAAGTTTAGGGCGTTTTTGTATCCGTATTTATGAGTGTTATGATGGTTTCTTTACGAGCTTGTTTTTTTTTACTTTGTGTGTTTTTAAATGAAATTATTGAGCTTGTTTTCTTAAGTTTTCTTCGGTTTTTTTTTTTAGTAGTTTTCTAAATTTGTGTTAGTAATCGAGGAAGTCAACCATAGTTATGAATTCTGGTTATTAAGATATTTTTATTTGTGTTTTAACCGTTTGGAATTTTTAGGACACTTTTACTGAACAAAAAATGGACTTAGATTGGGAAGGACTTTATCACCCACTATAACTAACTTATTAATTATTTATTCAGAGACAAAAGCAATTCTCGGATCGTTTGTTGTTGTTGTTGTTGTTGCTGTTTTATTAATTAAATGAAAACCTAAGCTTAAGAGCTGACAGATTTATCACTTCATTATTTCTTTCAATCATCGGCGTTATGCAACAATAAGAGTTCATGATGTATATCCTTTTATTGTGAACAGAAACCTATTATAAAATGGCACGAACAAAAATCTGACAAAACATCAAGGGCTTTCTTTCAATCTGCGGGTCGCGGGTGGTTCGAATCCCCATCACACCAGACATGCTCGCCCTTTCAGCCGTGGGGCGTTATAAGTGACGGTCAATCCCACTATTCGTTGGTAAAAGATTAGCCCAAGAGTTAGCGGTGGGTGGTGCTGACTAGCTGCCTTATCTCTAGTCTTACACTGCTAAATTAGGAACGGCTAACGCAGATAGCCCTCGTGTAGCTTTGCGCGAAATTCATAACAAACCAAACCATTGTTTCTGTGTTAATTTACAAGGTGTGACGAAAATTCTTAGTACAAGAGAAGAGTTCAATGAATGGTGGTGTTATTGGACTAAATCTGTCATCGGTGAGTGTCTGAACTGAAAATGTCGTCGAAAATCTTCTTCATTCGTTTTGAATTTCGCGCAAAGCTACACGAGGGCATTGACCGACACTTATAACGCCCGACGGCTGAAGGGGCAAGCATGATTGGTGAGACGGGGATTAGAACCCGCGACTAGAACAAAGTCAAATTGGGCTATCTGCTGTGTCCACCTCGGAAAATCGAACCCCAGATTTTAACGTTGTAAATCTGCAAAAAATGTGTTAAGTTGGTAATAATTGTAAAGTTAAAGTTGGGTGTTATTCCTCAGAATGATCAAAATGTATACGAATACATAAACATGGGTCGATAATAGAATATAAATACATAAACATGGGTAGATATTAGAATATAAATACATAAACGTGGGTCGATAATAGAATATAAATACATAAACATGGGTCGATAATAGAATATAAATACAAAAAACATGGGTCGATATTAGAATACAAATACATAAACATGCGTAGATAATAGTTTAGTAAGAAGAATGTTATTGTGTCGTATCTAGTTTCAGTCAATCCTTTTGCACAGTGTTCACGAGAGCTTCCTGTCAGTGATCCTGAGATCTAAAGGGGATCTTACAGATTAAATTTATAATGATCTGAAATTAGGTCGCACAATATGTAACGTTCTTTTCTTAAAATCATAGCACGCATGGCCCGTTTGACATTTCACATACTTTAAGTTATTCACTTTAACAAAGTAAACATTTCTAAGTCAACGTCTATGGAAGGTAAAACAATGAATATCGCTTTAGACGATAAATAATAGTTTTCACTTATTTTAGAAAACAAACATTGACTTCAAACGTTTTCCTAAATGAAGACTTGTGTTCGCCTTTCATCTTCTGTGATTTAAACATGAGGTCGAACTGCTTTAAAAATATCTACAAATTATATAACGAAAAAAGGAACAAAAATGGAAAACAAATCCTAAAGTAGATGGGTGAAACCTAACCCCCCCAAAAAAAGACTTTTATTATAAAGAATTGTGTTATAGAGATGGATTACACCTTGTTAATAGAACTCAAATATCAACTGCAGTTATAAATGAACTATCGTAAGTGTTAAATATCTGTATATTTTTACACACTGAGTTATGTATCTTAACACACACACACCCCCATCAAAAACATCTTTAAACAACAGCGCCCTCTAAAAACAGAAATATTCCTCTTTTCATGGAAATAAGTGAAATGGAAAATCTAGTCAGTAAAGACAACATAAAAGTTTCAGAAACGATATAATCTATTGCACCTTTAACACTCTACGTCTTACCTGTAACCACTAGGATGTGACAAACAATGAGCGGCGGTCAGTATGAACTGGTCGTTGATTAAAGCGCCACCACACCAGTATTCTGTTCCACGGCGTTTCCTTAGGAAGATAGCTGACTACCAATAAATTACAGAAATACATAAAATTATGTTAGTATATAAGTTCGAAAACTATTCGATGTGTTGTGTTGGACACGTGGTAACCAGTAAAACAGACAATACTACTAAGATTAAAGTTAATACGAGTAGGATTTCACAGTCTAATGCTATTGTCAAAGACATGATTTTAGGGTGACAAATAGACGGACCATCTTTCTCACCTCCAGAGACATAAATAATTTGATTTGCTGTTGAAATTAAAAATAATTATTTGCACACCTACGTGAATTGCCCAGGTTGTTAGGGCACTCGACTCGCAATCTGAGGGTCGAGGGTTCGAATCCCTGTCCCACCAAACATGCTCGCCCTTTCAGCCGTGGAGGCGTTATAATGTGACGGTCAATCCCATTATTTGTTGGTAAAAGAGTAGCCCAAGAGTTGGCGGTGTGTGTTGATGACTAGCTGCCTTCCCTCTAATCTCACACTGCTAAATTAGGGACGGCTAGCGCAGATAGCCCTTGTGTAGCTTTGCGCGAAATTCATAACAAACAAACAAACAATAAATGAAGGCAAACTTTTGTCATGTTGTCTATAGGTATTTCTTGTAAACGTGACAAGAATATTTTCGTCACTAACCATTTGTTTGTTGCTAAGTCCAAAGCTACATAATGGATTATGTTGTGTCCATCGCAGGGATCGACCTTCGAGGTTTAGTGTTATGAGCCCTCTAGCATACCGCTAAGCCAGTGGAAGCTGGAGAGTGGAAAAAGTAGTAAAAACATAACCTACCTACATGCGCCTGAGAAATAAATTAATTTAATTTTAATGGCCTAAAATGCAATGAGTGCTTTTTTACAAATATAACTTTTTATATGTATTGCAACTAGTGTACGCAATCTGTTATATTTAACGATTTTAATTGTTTGCTGTTGGAAAAAACGAGTATTCCGGAATGTTCTAGCTGTTAGACAATACACATGAATGTCCTCGCTCTTGGACGACACACATATTGAATATTTATTTTTATTCAACACAAGAGGCCCCCAGTGACATAGCGGTATGTCTGCGGACTTACAACGCTAGAAACCGGGTTTCAATATCCGTGGTGGGCAGAGCACAGATAGCCCATTGTGTAGCATTGTGCTTGATGACAAACAAACAAATTAAAGACAAGAAATAGTTGTAATTGTGCAGGATAGCGTAATACTTAACCTCTTCGGTGAATTATAACGATGTAAAAAGCATTTTTAGTCACCTAGGGTGTCTTTTGTAATTATTTAGTAAAAGCAAGTAGTCTACATTTCAATGTGTCGTGCAAGACAACAATGACTTTGTAAAAATAACCAGTTGCCAAATTAAATTTTTATTACTTCCTGTCGCTTGGGAAACATGTGAAGTTGGTGTTATATATACATATTCCTTTATATTTTTCTCACACGCCACTTCTTATTGCAATCTCACTACGCAAGAACAGCGAGAAAGAGATGAAGCGAAGGATAGGAATGGTAAATCCAGCATTCTTCAGTCTCAAGGAACTGTTCAAAAGGCATGTCAAATTAGAACTGAAGAAGTGACTATTAAAATGATCTGTATGGATAGTCCTACTCTACAGGAGGGGGGGGACGTGGATTATATCTGCTGACGCTAAACGACAGTTGGAAGCATTCGAAATGTGGTGGTGTAGACGTATGATGACGGTTAGCTACATAGAAAAAAACAGGAGGAAGTAATGGAACGTGCAAAAAAACAGACAATTGTTGGACATATGAAGTCCAAGGACGATGCGCTGCTTTGGATATATAATCTGAGAGAAGGTTGACCGAAATGCTGATGGACTAAATCTAAGGAAGGAAAGCGTTGGTAAATGGATTGCACATGATAAGCTTCAGTTACTTGGTGCAGGCAGTGAGAAATAGAGAACCATTGTCATTGTTCTTCAGGAGGACACCATGATGGATTGATTGGCTTCCTCAGGAGGACAACATTATAGATTGATTGACTTCCTCAAGAGGACAACATAATGGATTGATTGACTTCCTCAGGAGGACAACATAATGGATTGATTGACTTCCTCAGGAGGACAACATAATAGATTGATTGACTTCCTCAGAAGGACAACATGATGGATCGATTGACTTAGCGTAACTGGGTTGACTCGGGTATATCGTACGATCTAAAAGACTTTTGATAGACGTCATATCTTATTCAATGTAAAGGCCCTACAGACCAAGAACTTACATGTTGTTATTTGTGTGTTTGTCTGTACTGAGAATAACTTACTTTAGAATAACGAAAGGGACACTAATTTGTAATGGCGAATACACACTCTAATCTATAAGCTGATGCAATACTGTTAAATCGTATCTGCAACTAATACATGTATAGCTAACCTTCCGTCTTTCAGGCTTACTTTTAATGGTTTTGTCTCATTTAAATAAAATGGAGTCATAAATTGGCTTGTAAACTATTCGTCAGCCACCTGATACAAAATTATCTGCAGTCGTACTTTATCCCCACAATTCTACTATAAACATAACTAACTTCCATAAGATAATACGTTAAATATACACTATTTACAAATAGTGTTTTATTAAGTATAGCATAATATCAGGGTAACATTAAATTGACTTACTAAGTGATCACTTCAACAACAACAACAAAAAAAGTAGTGAGTGCATCATTATTACAATTCTACAGTCGGATTTATGAAGTAACTTTGCACTTTCTCACCGAATATCCTTAAATGTATACCTTACTGTGGCTCCATCTCATGGAAATGAATTAAACCTGCTTAAAGAAGCTTTCAATTTAATTATAAAACACGTTTCTTAAACTAATTTTTTAGTAACTGTCGTCTTATCGTTACAGAACCAAAAAGGATTTTCTCAGAAAAAAAAATATTTTAATTTCACCCAAATTCTGAAAAACACCATTTCGGAACAAAGTAATATTTAAGTATTTTGATTAAAGGATTCATGCAAATGCATGTCTTAGCCCAAAATAATATTGAGTTCTTTCATATTTTGCCAATGTAAAATGTACATCACATTTCTGTCACATAAGAAGTTTCCTATGGTGGGCCCTGGAGGTTCCCCTTACGGCAGAGTTCAAACCCCTTTTTATTATCAAAAATACATCAACAATAATCTTAAATATAATTGTATTATCTAATGCATTTCTATTTTTTCACAACATAATTTTAAAATTACTGAAAGTTTTTTATATTGCCATCCCGCTTAATATTATATTTTTCTCCTCAGTACTGAACAAAATTAAATAAAGACCAGAAAATTAAAATATTTATTCCATGCGTATATTAATAATATATAAGAGTTGTTTGTTTGAAGTTAAGCACAAAGCTACACAATGGGCTATCTGTGCTCTGCCCACCACGGGTATCGAATCCTCGATTCTAGCGTTATAAGTCCTCAGACATACCTCTGTGCCACTGGGGGGGGGCATATAAGAATTGATAATATTGGATACTAGTACATAATTATGACTAATTGTATTTAAACAGGAAAAGAGAAAAATATTAACATGTGCAGTTGTTACAAAAATGGAGCTCTTCAACTTTAGAATCTTGGAATGTAACTGAATTACTTTAAAAACAAATTATCAAGATATATGAAGCTATTTCACTAAAGTGAAAGACACAAACATTTACTTTCGCATATCTGAAATTAATTTTAATAAGTCGTATCACAATGAATTCAGCACTCACCATCCAAGGCCACTGCCCAGGATTAGCTTCGAATCCACCAACAATCCTTGCACCGCGTCCACCAAGTCCACATGCTGTTGAAAAAACGTTATCTTAAATAACTCAAAATCTTATTAAAGTAAAAAAAACGAACAAATCAAGTAAAAGGGTGATAATTGTTGAAATGTACTTTTTAACGATTAGGAAAAGCAGAATGTGTAGAGTATTGTATATTTTCATCCAAAGCTATATATGTGTGTGTGTGTATATAACAAACATTTTTACACATTTTCGTCTAAAGCTATATGTGGGTGTATATAACGAATTCAAGCGTTAAAAATCTCGAGATTACTGCTGAGCCATTGGGGACAACATGTATATAGTAAGGAGTTTTGGAATAATTAGGTCTGTTGTGAGGATGTTCCAAAGGGGGGGGGGGTGTCCATATAAGCCAAAAACAACAGATAGGGGGGTGTAGTCCATTTTTGGAAAATATTCTTTAAATTTAAAAAAGGGGAGCGGAATATCGAATCCTTAATTTGTTTTACACATACATTTGTTTGAGTTCTCATGGAAATGTTTAGGTTTAAAAAAAACATACAAAACGGGGGCTACAAACGCGAATATAAACGATTTTTGAAATCAAAATCACCATACTCTTTCACCCGAATAATTCACTTACATTCAGCCTATCTCCAAACGCTACAAATCGATCACAGTACGTCACAAGGCGCCGAATTATTCGAAGTATTCTCTCGGCGATATTATTATTATTACTAGTGAATAAGAAAACTCACCCTTACTCCAGCAATCAATCTTATCCATAAGTTTTAGTTCGGGATGGTAAAATTTTAACTGACTAAGAAATTGTTGAAAAACTACATCAGTTAAAAACAAAGCTAAAAATAAAACAGCAGTTCTATCCTGAAATTCCCTTCTAATTATATTGTTTTGGTTTTGGTTTTGTTAAAAGCAGATATAAGACTGCTTCGGTTGCATTACGAACTGGGATTTTAACTTCCTTTTAGTCCCATCCCAAGTAACTTTTGAATTATTATCTAAACAGTAAGTGAACTACACCAGGGAATCTAAACCTGAGTATGTGGGATTAATATTGGTGGTACGCAAAAAAAATTAATGTAAAAACTATAATATTTGTATTACAATTCCCTAGTACATATACACACTATACCCTCCTTACTTCTAAATTCGCCGTCCGCCTGCACTGACTCGTCAGTGTTTTCTTCCTTTCAAATTAACAAAACTCGCATTACATATTCTTCAATTGTGTTGAACAAAAAACAAAAACAAATCACATCCTTCCCATTAATTGGTAAGTGTTTAAAATATTAATTTTTTGTCACTAGGTTTGTTTTCGTTTTCAAAAATAAGGCCTGGATTTGTACTTCAGAAAAAAAAAGTTTGAACAAAACAAAATGAAAAGCTAGAAAACCACTGTTTTGTTCGTTCAATCCTGTGTTACGTCTCCGTTCGTTAGTTAATTTTCCGTAAAAATACTTTCCGAAGAAACTTTACCAATAGAAGACCATTCTTAAATAAAACTGGTTTATTCTTTCCGAATACAACTTTACGATACACTTAA